CTTTGGCTGCTCTTTTATCAATATCAAATACACCTTTGTCACCCACTACCAAAATTATGACACTAGCAATGACAGTTTCCAAATTATTTTTGTTACCATAGCATAGGGTTTGTCGTACCAACGCAACGTTCCTATGGTAACTTGTTAAGCAGCGATTTTTTAAAAGAACACGTTCTCTAATTCCATACATATTAAGTGTTTCAGTTTCGGAAGTACGAAAAATATCGTATATACCTTGCGACTGAAGTAGTGGTCTTAATCCCTCAGGTAAATTATGGCCCTCCCTTCGGTCGGGCCATAAACTTTACCTTCGGGATTAAAAGTACTACTTCAGTCCCGCGGTATATAATATACTATTAGAATGTGATTGCAACCAACACCCCATGTAGTCCAGGCGCTAATATAGGTATTGAGCATGCACTGGAAGTCTAACGCAGTTTGACTTTTGATTATTGTTGGGGGCATATAGTAGATGAAAAATATCGATGTCGTCGCATTTCCGCGATGGGCATAACATGAGGGGGAGGGGGCAAAGTCGCGTGCGTGGCGATTCACTTTATCGCTTCTAACTCAAAGACGGTAATAGTTAGAGCAATACTTGAAGCGGCTATTTACAGCTACTTATATTGGCTACAAAAAATGTCCTAAGGATAAAAGTCGTACTTCTAACCGTTTCGTTACAAATAAATTATTTCGGAATATATCCAAATACACTGAAAATCATATTTGCCACATATTTCTTGAATCTGTAGAATTTTAATAGTGTTGTTTATATGTTATACGTATAAGAGTAATTATAAAAGTACATAAGTATTGTCATCATATTTTAATTGGCATAATGTAGGAATTAAATTTAAATCTTCAAAAGACCGATCACTAAACATGTTTAAATAATGCAGAAATTACTTCTCACATAATGGCATCAGTTTTGGTAATGTCCCCTCGAATTAGTTCCAATATTAAATGTCTGCATATCCATCGAGAAGTAATTTTGGTAATCTTCAGAGTGATGATTCATCAAATTTTGATGTATCTACATCTGGCGTATTCCGAACAATTTATGAACGTAAAGGGTAAAATGCGAGGTAAAATGGTACTCATGCAATGCTCGCCAGCATTGATGTTATGCAAATCTCGAGACAGTTCAGCTCTGCAAATGCAAAAACTGTTCCAAAAAAAACATGTAATTGTTTATCAAATAATTCTTCTTGTTGCTTTTATTGCAAATGTGTTGATAAATGCAGAAACCCATTACAAACTAAAGAGTCTGACGAAGAGAGCGAAGGGGAGAAAGATTTGTGACTGGGTGCCCAAGTACGTGCTGGAAAATTGTAAAATTGACTGTATAAAATTATATATATTTATCTAATAACATCATTATTGAATTTATCTTACACATAAGAAATGTGCATTAAATATGATTTTTGATCGGATTTAGATATATTCCAAAATAATTTATTTGTAACAAAACAGTTAGAGGTACGACTTTTATCCTTAGGGCCTTTTTTGTAGGTAATATAAGTAGCTGTAAATAGCCGCTTCAAGCAGTGCTCTAACTATTACCGTCTTAGAGTTATAAACGATAAAGTGAATCGCCACGCCCCCGACTTTGCCCCCTCCCCCTCATGTAATGCCCACCGCGGAAATGCGACGACATCGATTTTTTTCATCTACTATATGCTCCCAACAATAATCAAAAGTCAAACTGCGTTAGACTTCCAGTGCATGCTCAAACCCTTTAGCGCCCGGCCTAATGTAGCAAAATTGGGAATCTATGATAATTTTGTACTGATTATGTGCATTTTTTCTTCGTATCATACACTTTTTGTTCTTAATTATTCAACTTTTTAAATTGGGGCACCAATTTCACAATCAACAAAGCGAAATTGGAGTACCATTCTAAAAATTTGAATAACTCAAAGACGAAAAACGTGTGAGAATTGTTATTCAAACATACGTACTTGCATATTGTTGATATTTTGTTAAACATTAGGACAACAGCCATTTTTGTGAACTTGATAATTGTAACGTTCCGTTTCAGCATAGAATGTAACCACAGGGAGTCTCTGACTGAATGTGCCTTCAGTGTGCTAATAGAGAGTGTACCATAGGAATTGCGGAAAACTTCACTTTGGCTTTTGTTGCTGCGGTACTAACTTTGCGAAAGGTGTTTAAATCTTATGAAATTCCTGAGGCATTAAGTTAAAATTGCCTAAATTATTTATCTAAATGTATTTACGTGAATGAGTTTTGCTAACCTTAATCTAGGTAAGCATATTTTTCATATTTCCATTCTTTACAATACTTTTCATTATTTATAGGTTAGTTTATATCACATGTTCCTGGCACATTCGAAGTTAATTAATATATCAAGCAAGATTAATCGTATCGGCATATGTTTGATTTCCCCATTTTAGTTCCTTTCCCGGATATCTCGTCTGCATCCAAACAGTGTCGTCACTTGAGTATTCGACAAACTAGTAGCTTGATCTATAGTAAGATACTGTCAAATTGGGCAAGTGTGGTGGATTTCCATCTATCTTCCGGGACCGCAGTAGTACCTACTTCGAGTTCTCTCGAAGTTCTCCTTTTTTTAAGCAGCATAAAGTTGGTAACATTATTTATATGAAATGCGGCGTGGTTGTTAAATGACCGTATACGGGGCGGTGACTTGACGAACGCACCATAGGAATTTCAGTAGTAATTTTTTAATTTACGATTATTGGCTCCCCTAATTATTTTAGAGATAAGGTCTATTTAGGTTTTTTTGTAGAGAACAAAATTTCGAATTATTATTATTCACCGTGCTTTAATAATTTGTGCAACGAAATTAACGCTTAACAATCAAAATTGATTTACGCGCGAACCATGAAAAATTATCACATCTGCACATTTTTATGTATGTGTATGTAATGGGCTCACATTCTCTTCCTAATATTTAAATCACGTTTTAATGCCATCCGTTCCACATAATGTGCATGTGCATGCCAACAATAAATATGGGAAGTTTGTGTAATCATAAACTCGTCACATATGGTTCTGGCGGTATGCAACGGGCATGTTCGTGTTTTCATTTATTGGTGGAAGACAAATTCCATATACAAATGCAAAACAATTCCGTTTTTTAATGATTTCCCTTGGCGGGTGCTTTATTCATTTAAACCGCCATAAAGCTCATAGCTCTATTGGAAAATCTGCAATTCATCTCAATCGCAACAATTGGTTAATAATGATTTGTTTCTGTAAATCCTGATGTGGTGCGTAACTAGTAATGGAGTCGAAGGGATGTTTAATGTATCACCCTACGAAAAATGTAGGCAAAGATATAAATGGCCTACTCGCGTGATAATCAGATAAATCTCGTATTGTGCCATGATCATTTTCTTCTCAAACATGAAGCTTATAATGTTATTTCAACTACATAAACACGATCTTTTCATTTTTTAAGAAAAATAATTTTATTGATTGCCAAAAACGCCTTGAACTGTTTTATACGCGCTTCATTGAAAATGCGTTTACTTTTGAAATACCTACTCCGCTTTTAGTGATATAGCTAATTAGCTACTAGAAAATGATGGACATTCGGCTTAGTGTTGCTGTAAAAGCCAACCACCATAGGCGCGCTACTTTACTTACAGTTTAGTTCTAAATCTCGTAGGATGCACAATTCTGTTACATCCCACGACATACTGAAGACTATACTTGAAACCACATTACCGCCATTCCTAGAAGCTAGTTTTAACATTCCCACACCCAACTATTAAGTGTAATTAAGTTTACATATTATAATTACACACTACTATTAATTATACGTAATGTGGATGCGGTAATTGACACCAAAAGCTTACCTCAAATGGTTCTTTTTTTAAACTAACTCAGAATTACCGCCGGGATAATTAAATGAAAGTAGAAATATATGTAAATTGCATCATTATGAGGGAATAATTAACCAATATCCAGGTGTGTTTTAGAATGAATAAATTAGGAAGAGGTAGTAATTTGGGGTATTTTCTCACCCTTGTCAAGGATAACAAGGATACTTTGTTTACAAAAAAAAACCGATTTCAATTAGGTCTGAGTCTGTTTCTCATGCAGGTTCCCCCTTGGACATGATGAAAAAGTTCAGTTTATGATTACTTAAGTATGAAACTTTTATCATAATATGTAAATCGATGAAGATACTCAACCAAGAGCAAATTAAGAAACAAAAAGTATTGTAAAATAAGATTGCAGTATCGAACACGGCTAGTGGGAATGCCTCACTCACAGTCTTATGAAATTCTTGTAACCTAACAATACATAACTCGTACATATAAGAGGTCAACGAATGAAAATGGAAAATATGAAATACGTCTTAATGAACAATGTTAATATTCATATGTCAATACTTTCTAATTCTAGTTTACCATTCAAAAGTACTGGAGCGAAATAAATAGGTACATTTTGCGCAAATTGTCACATTCGGGAAATTTAATTATAAATTATTTTAATTTGCATCAGACAGACGGACAGAAAGTCCAAATAACCGAAATTTAAACATCAATTGTCTCCTCCACACCTATGGCTACTTCGTTGGTGGCGATGCCTAAGAGGGAACAGTTAAGTGTTTTTATATTTATATATTTAGTGATAGATATTTTTTAATTAAAGTTTTTTGGCTCATGCGTAGACATTGCTTAATGCTACAATTTTCCTCGCATCTAACAAGCAAATTCGCTACGCTTCTTTTTTTAAATTTTAAATTTATTGAATGTAAAAATAAGCGCAGAATGGGATCATTTGCTACGAAAGCTTCCTGGTGTCACCAACTTTTTTTCTTTTAAAAATCTCAATATATTGACTTTTTTCTCAATATATTGAGATGTTTCTCAATATATCGAGATTTTTCTCAATATATCGAGATTTTTCTCAATATATTGGCATTTTTCTCAATATATCGAGATTTTTCTCAATATATCGAGATTTTTCTCAATATATCGAGATTTTTCTCAATATATTGACTTTTTTCTGTGTCCTTTTGTTTAATCCAGCTGCGGTGATATGATGAATGTTATTTCCGTGTAGATGTGGTTAGCGTTAGAGTGAAGTGAATTCATTGCGTTTGACGCATTTATTAATCTGTTTTACTGCACTCAATAATTAAGTGATCGTGAGCTAGTAGCTGTACTGTCGAGCCATCCATTTCTTGTATATCAGGTAGGTATAAATTTATGTAGAGGTACACAATATGTGCAGCATTATGATCAAATAAGTATGTACTATACAGAATGACTGAGGACAAAGCTATATAAATCTAATGTACCTACTTATTTTTGCGTTTTTCTATAGGTAGGTAGGGTGTTTCCTAATACATTGACTGATTTTTTTAGAAGGTACAATGGATGATGCTGAGGTTCATGCCGTTTATTATTTTTTGCTGGGATTATCGTACACAGAAATATTGGCGATGTTGAGCTTTTGCCATGGTTTTCACTTAAGTTTGTCGACACTAAAACGAAAACTAAATTGCCTAGGACTATATAGAAAGAAGCACTTCTCAGAGCTACATTTAGTTGTAAATTTTATTGAACAACAACTACAAAGTTCAGGACAGCTGCATGGATACCGGTGGATGCACTTAAAATGTATTCAACACGGACTCACTGTAACTAGGGAAGCTGTACGAATGATAATAAATGAGCTGGATCCAATTGGAGTCACGTTTAGAACAAGAAAAAGACTGCGCCGCAGGAAATATTCAACGCGTGGACCTAACTTCGTATGGCACGTTGATTCTTATGATAAATTGAAGCCATATGGAATAGCTATAAATGGAGCTATTGACGGATTCTCTCGGCATATTATGTGGTTGAAAGCTGGCAGAACTGCAAGTGACCCGAAGGTAATAGGAGGGTACTTTTTGGAAGCCATAGAAAAATATGGAGGATGCCCAAGACGGCTACGTTCAGACCTTGGCACGGAAAATAGGTACATGGAGCAATTTCAAATATTTTTTAGAACATTGCCCGCAGATAATACGGATGTGTGTTATGGAGACCGAAGTTTTTTGTATGGGACCAGTCAGGCGAACCAACGCATAGAGTCGTGGTGGTCGATATTAAGGAAACAAAACGCTCAGTTTTGGATGAACATTTTTCAATCACTAAAAGAAGACGGTTACTTCAGTGGAACGTATTTGGACAAATCATTAATACGATTTTGTTTCATGGCTATAATACAAGTAAGTAAAGGGTGATACATTAGAACTAATTCTAATGAATTACCCGTTATAAAGTGTCAAAAGAAAAAAAAGATTCATCTAAATTCGTGAAATGAGTTATGAGGTATGATCAAGCATTCTGGGAAGGCCGTGGAAATTTTAGATGACATCTAATATGAACCAATATTAGGTAATTAATTTAACACCTCGCGCTAAATGTTAACATTAAAAATTAACTAATCTCTCTCTCTCTCTCTCTCTCTCTCCCCCCCCCCCCCCCCCGGCCAACTCTAGTTACCGAGTTATAGATCATACCTTATAACAACAAGAGAGAACACAGTAGAAAATGAATACCTACTTTCCTTATTATTGAATTAGATACCTACCTACTCATATGTTTCTTTTTAGAAAGAACTTGCACAAGTTGAATTGGAATGGAATACACATCGTATAGCAGCGTCACGAAATTCCATATCCCCCAAAGGTCGGCCTATTGTGTTGTTTGAATTGCCACAAGCGTATTATACACAGACCTACATATGCCAAGTGACCCACCATGATTTGAATATCTGTAAGCAAGAATCCTCATTTCTGTACTTACCCTGTGACGTCCATGTATACCAACTGTGTAAATTAATAATGCGAGAGAAAAATTTGCGTGAACCATCAGATTCGTATGAAGCAGTGAATTTATACCTTACATTAAGGGAAGAGATTATGTCCCAGATTTTATAGTTTGTAAGAAAACATATTTTTTTGTCAAAATGCCACATTCTGTGTGGAATAGATTCAAGATTGTATTAATTTCATCATTCTCTGGGCTTATGTGTAAAAGAATGATAATCGTTTTTGAAATCTGCTTTATAAATATATAATTCTTAATGAATTTAGTATGTTTGTCTACTTCGTCCCTAGATTTAATCAACCAACAACTCTTCTACGGATACTTTGTAACACATGATAATCTTGGAAAACATTAGTACAGATGTCATAGTACCCTGCACAAGTTTTAACGTGGTACATGTCCCCAGAAAAGTTCCATAGGTAGTTATGTATGTAAGAAAATCAAAGTTCTTTTTTGAAAGTTGTTATACAATGTCCTTTAAGGTTCAGAGTACGATAGAAAGTCCAACATATTGTTACGATCGAATATCGAGCGCTACACTTGTACGGCAGATAACGATTTACTCTGTATGGAGCCACTTAATAACAAGTGTTGGACATACGACCCTGGAGAACACCTTACAATAACAATTATTAACAACATAAATAAATTGATGAATTAATTAATGTGCTTGCTTAAATTAAATGCATTTGGGCATTGAAAAACTTCCTCTATGATTTGGTCAAGGAGAAATTTAACAAATTCTAATGGATAACTAATTGCATTACGTTAACAAACATAAAACAACAATAATAACCATAATTGTTTATTTTTATTTTAAGGCACAACATTTAGGCATCTGTCACAAATAAGAGAAACTTAAAACTCAAAACAGAAAACGAAAAACTAGGTAGGTTACATAATTTTGTAAACATAATAAATAAATATGACACAAAAATAGAAACGGAAATGTATGATACATTGCTACATGGAATACCTATAATTTGTGATTGAAGTAGTACTCGTCAAACATATTTTGTAGGTAGGTATGTATTACAACAATACAAAATAAAAATTGCAACAAAAAATAAAATAATACATATTATACCTACCTATTGCTAAGACATATGTAGGTATAAATATGAACAGTCATATACCTATATATTTTTATTAAACAATATCCATTACCCATACATTTGATTGCAGGATATTTGTCATCTCACTTCTAAAAACTACAAAATTTTCGTAACTTGAGGGCAATTCTAACAACCCAGAACATGTATGCCCTATTGGAACCCGCCCAAAGCCAGTTGTGTTAATAATTGATACATAAATGTCTCTTGTAGGTAAATCAGACCCGGTACAAAATCTGAAAAAGGCCGAACGTGTACTATCATCAACTTCTTTTATAAATTTTTTCAAATATCCATATATTTCTGTTATTTGTGGCGTAGTTTCGTTTGCATTTTGTAAATGAATTTTTGCCAAACAGTTTTTTGAGGATGGTTTTATGTTGTTAAATAGAGCCATAATTTCAGAGGTGCTAATCCTACTGTGCGTTTGGAATACTTGTCCGAAGCATTTAATAACAAAAGCGGGCTTTTGAATGAGCTCTTTGTGGGCAATGTCCCTTAAGAATAAATTAATATTGGTTTTTGTGGGAATCCATTTTGCATCATAATTGGAGAAAATGTCTAAGAGTTCATCACTGTCCACATTATCGAAGTCCAACAATGCTTGCCGGAGAATTTCCCTTTCAGATTCGCAAACAAAATGCAAGAAATTTTGTATTAGATCTTCATCTTGTATCGCACATCCCAAACAACTCAGAATAAAAACAGGAGCTATTTTTATTGGAATATAACTTTCTGTAGTAAAACCTTTTAAGAATATACTTGCAATCGCTTTCCACTGAGTTTCATTAAAATCGTGTCGCAAATACGGAATTTTCAGATTGGTTCCTACAGAACACTTCTCATAAAAACTGGACCAAAATTCTGAAAGTGTATCTCGGAAAACTCCTCCAACATCCTCTGCGTATTCTGTTTCTCCGTTTGGAAGAATCATTTCAATTTTTAGAGCACAAGAATAATGAAACGTGTGCTTCTGAAAAGCTTCTATCAGTTCCTCAAATATTTTGCCTCTGTGTAGTGTTAACGTTTGAATATTATCTGTTTGCTGAAATTGGTTTTCTGCATTTAGATCTTCAAGGTTTGGACGGTTTCTATCAAGAACATTTGTAGTATAATTCTGTACACTGGTAGAAGTACTCTGAATAGCAGGCAATTGTGCTGACATTGTAGTTGTTTCTAAGAATCGTTCATTTGGATGTATGTCAAAATGTGGATTATTAAATAATTCCTGCAAACCTGGCTCCGAAGCAGACTCCAAATCAAATATAACCACATCATTTGTGGTAATGGCATCCTAAAGAAATTACAATTTACATTATAACTATTCTACAACACTGAAGTAATAGATTTTGCAATAATAAAAGTTCGCTCTAAAAATAATGTGAATTGCAGCACTCACTTTATTAGTTTCGACTCGTGGTACAAACTTTCGCACTCGTGCTAAATGTACACATACATAAGTCTGTCCTTATTGCAAAATATATTATTTCGATTTTGCAACTATAAAAATAATCAAATATGACCATTTTAGTGTTAGCACATTAGTAAACGAGCCCTACATATATTTAGTGTGTCATCTATTTGATTGTTATATAGTTATTTACCTCTTGTAGTATGTCAAGATCTTCATCTAGAAAATTTGAATAAAATCGGGCAGTTTCAGCTGCCACCACTACTTCTGAGGCCTCTGCAGTTGACTGTTCGATGACGTCTTTTTCTGCGGCTAAAATATAACAAGTTAAAAATTCATTATGCAAACATAAATGACGAGAGCGTATTTTCCTCTTAAAAATATTAATTATAAATTTTAAATTTCATTTAAATGCTTCCGTAAATAAGAAAGTTGGCGCTGCGCATGTGCAAAACGAAATTTTTAAATTGGTGTTAGTGGCATTGCGCATGCGCGAAACGAAGAATTGAAATTGGTGTTAGATTTTCTTTTATTCAAAGTGCCTATGTATCAAATTTCATTTAAATACGTCCGTAAATAAGAAAGTTGGCATTGCGCATGCGCCAAACGAAATTTTGAAATGGCTCACTGGTTAGTGCATTGGGCTACAAAGCCGGAGGTCGGGTGTTGGAACCTGGGCTGAGGTAAGAATTTTTCATCTGTGGCAGAGATGAAAATTTCCTTAGATCAGTTTCGAGCATTCTGCCGGCTACTCCGAATTAGGTTTTCATGCAGTTTTCTTAATTCGTAAGGAGTAGTAGAAAACAACTCAAGACCTTCTGCAGGGTCACCTCTAATAGCATTAATGCGGGTCACTCTGTAATTGGGCGCAAGCCTGTTGAGGACGCAAAACTAAACAAAGTTTGGGAAGGACTTGAATATGTGCCGTGAGACAAATTGTGTTCACATTAAACATTTGCAGGTAAATATGATTGCATTGCTTTTTCAGTTGACCTATAAATAATAATATTGAGTTCATTAACATTTAAAAACACTCAGGTTAACCAAATAGATAATATTGCTTGAAACATGGCTTCTGTCAAACATAAAATTACCTACAGTTGTCAAATAAAGATATAGCGTAATTAGTCGGTACGTATATTGGGCACCCTTTGTCCAGAATTTGTGGCTACGTCTCGCCTCAGCTGCAAATTCTGGACTCAACACAAAAAGATTTCGTTATTATGACTAAACATTTCAGTCCCGTTTGACAAACGACTGATAGTCGGTCCTGATGATCAGTCCTGATGGGATAGAGTCATTGTTTTAAGTTACTTTTTCTACAATCGATATCCAAAGTAGGCATTTGCGCTCGTATTTGACAACGCAAACGTCATCTTTTCTGATGAATGTCACTTTGTCGCATATAAGCGACTAAATGAAAAAAACGCACGCTCCCCAATTATTAACTATAAATCAAATATGCATTGCTCAGAGTATCCAATGACAACGAGTAAATGTCATCTGTACTTTTAATTTTCATTCATCAAATTGAATACATTTTTGGAAATATGCGAACTGCTCTATTGTAGAAAAAATCTTGTGTGTAATTCGAGCGCAAATTGATAGTCGATTTCAAGAGATTGCCGCGCTCCTTCGTCGCGCGTCAACTGTCTCTTTCAATCGACAATATATCACTTTGCGCTCTTAATACACAAATAGCTATTTTCACACGTTGTGCGTACCATCAGTCGTTTGTGAAACGCGGCTTAAGAGTATAGTAGCACAATAACCAATTCCTACTCTTGTTTTTTTGTAGTACAATCATTGTATTTATAAATGTTTATAAATACAATGGTACAATTTAAACAATTATTTAGTCCTCTCTAAAAATACTGTGTTACGTACACACATTGAATAAAAACAATGGTATAAATTAGTCTAAGAAAAACCATAGTATACCATACTCGCTATAAGGGCATTATTCCTTTGGATGTTTTACATCTCCCGCTCGTTTTGTAATAACTTTCATCCTCAGTAATGATTAGGCATTCGTTATATCGTGGTTGTTCAGTATTCAACAATACTCTCGTCTGATTTGATTGTGCACTCACCTCTCGAGCCACCATTTTATAAACTTTTATACCATTGAATATAAAATTAAATAATATACATACCATTTATGTTTTTTCGCTCAGATTTTAAATAAAATCGAAGAACTTTTACTTTAGTACTATTCAAAATCTGAGAAATAGATATATCTGGTGGATATTCATTGTGTTTGAAGTCTAGCAAGTCAAAATCGAAATCCTCGATGTTTCCTTTGGGTGAGAAACCGTTAGGGAAAAACACTTTTTGCGCAGCTTCAATCAGTTCTTGTTTCATCGCAGATTTCTCCACTGTCAGTTTCCTAGTTCCTCCCCCTTTTTTGCTACGTACTTGCACAATTTTGTTTCCATCTTCATGTAGCCAACCCATTTCAATATTTCTGGTCGACTTTTCTGAATTGTATTTAATTTTTTTCTTTGTGTGTACCACAGATTCCTCATCATTTTTATTTCCCCTAAATATTTGGCTTCTAATTTTTTCCAGTAGTGATTGTTTAGAAGCTTCTTGTTTCGATGTACTTGGTGCTCGCATCAAACAAAACTCTCTAACCAACTTCCTGTGCCCATAAGCTGGTAAAAATGTTTTTAGTTCTGTATCGGACATCATATTTATAACTTCTTCAGAAATCTGAACAAAAAAAAACATTTGTTAGAATAAATTTGTGGGGAGGAAGATAGTAGGTGAATGACTCTGATATTTTAAATGCTAATGCATATAGATTCAACAAGTCCCTAACTTTTTAAATGTATCCATAAGCATTAGCTTATTAATCTAATACAAACCTGTTCTGCAATAATATTTTGAACAACTTCCTCTGGCACATTATGCCGTTTCAAGAAATCTTCTAATTCCGACATTTTTTCTCAAACCACGTAAAATGCAGATCGTACAACTGAAACTAAGTTAGGTGCTTAATGTGCGTTCCAACTGAATTATGGGTTTTGTTTTGTGTTTTGTTCAATTCAGTGGCTGTTAAACATAAAATTTTGTTTCGTAAGCAAAGTTAAAGCTGTATGATTATGTCGCCACTTGGTTTGTTACTCACTAGTGGTTAAAGGAGACAGTATTGTTCAATCGCATTACTGCGACGTGTGTGAGACGAAATGTGACACACCATATGATACGATCGTCGATCGTCCTCCAACTTTAAGTTTCGACCCTATTGGTTGGTTCACGAAGATAACTTATTAGATAGCCATCTCCAACTAAACTTCAAGAAAACCAATTCGCGAATCCACCATTTGTGCTCAATACCATCACCGAACACAAAACAAAATAAAATGTAAATAGAAGTAACTAGAATTAGTATAATATTTAGGGTAGGTGTAGGTACCTACGTATGATTTTACAAACATTAAGATTAATAACTAAAATTATAGTACATTCTTCAACGAGCGTAGAATAGAAGCTATTATTCACGTGGATGAAGTTCCAAGTGAATAATAGCCATTCTAGGCAAGTAGAAGACTATACTTCCTTTACGACTATTAAAAAATTAAAAGAAATTAGTTACGTTTTTGACGTTTCAAATGGTGACTTATGCGGTTGCTAAGATACGCTCCGTCAGTTTTTTCCAAAGCGATGTGATTATTGCATATTACCGTGAATTCTGAAAAATAAAAGCATGTGATTGGCTAATCGAGCGTGATTTCTTACAAAGAAATCACGCTGTGAAGAATTTAAACTATTATTCAATGTAATATGCAGCAAGAATCAGGGCATTATTTAATAGTCGTAGAGAAAATAATTATTATTACCTACATTGCTACCTACCTGCCTACTACATACAAACAGATGGCACAAAATAAACTCAAAATGTAAGTATAACAACCGGCTCGAACGCTGGAATCTCTTGATCACGTCTCGTTGTTCAGGACGCACACACAAATGAAAAAGTCAATATAGTGAGAAAAATCTAAATATATTGAGAAAAATGCCAATATATTGAGAAAAATCTCGATATATTGAGAAAAATCTCGATATATTGAGAAACATCTCAATATATTGAGAAAAATCTCAATATATTGAGAAAAAAGTCAATATATTGAGATTTTTAAAAGAAAAAAAGTTGGTGACACCAGGAAGCTTTGTAGTTTATGACACCTGGCAATAATTTTTTTGTAAAATGCGGTTCACTGAGGAAAAAGTATTTATAATAAACAACGTTTACAGCGAAAATATTTACTCTAGTACGCGATATTTGTTTTCCGTGCATGTGAAAACCTACTTCAATTAGTTAGGAAATTTCCATGGCTTAACATGATTTTGCTAATTGGATTTATTGCCGAATTTTTGATAAAATAATGAGAAATACACCTGAAAATAAGCTAATTCGTATATCATTAGATGAGAAAAAAACTTCTTTTGATTGGTGTCATTACAAACCCTCTAAGTTAACATGGGGAGCAACGATCGGCAAAAAAACGTTTTTTATTATACCTGAATCACAATCTCCGTTTTAAACACTCAAATGCGTGCGAAAAAGGGCCTTTAAAACACACGTGCTTTAAAGTTGCTAAGTAACGATACTTCAATTTGAAACTGTCATCTGGATGAAATAAAAAATCCTCTTAGGTCGCTTTCTGTAAATGCAGAACATTTCTTTGGCTTTTGTACCTATCCTTTGGTTGAAGCTTTCACAAACGCGCGTAATTTAGGGTTTGCTTCCAAATCTGTTCCACTTTTTAATCGCAGCACTGCTTTAAAGATTTGAATGAATGCACCAAAATATAGAATATTTAAATACCTTTGACATTTCCTTCATATATGCCAGCATTATGGATGCATTTAAGACTGTATTCGTAAGTAACTTCCTATTCATCCATGGAAACAACTTTTCATATTCTTTATAATAGGCTTTACTGGAGTTTGATTTTACACCTACCAACGTTTGTTTACATTTTACAACAATCGATTTAATGGACGGTGTATTATCTTTTTCAACGGAAATCGTTTAATTCACAAAGACGATGATTTTTATAAGCAACGTCAAGTGACATTTCCATGGCAATCGTGAAATTACGAACACCCAGCCCACTTAATTAGACATGTATATTTGAGTATAACGTCAATATGACTTCATTGTATTTCCTATTTTTAAATTATACTGCAGGTATAATAAAAAATACTATAAGATACACGTGTATAATTGGTCTTTAAAGCAGTTGCAACGTTAAAGGCACTCCGCTTTGCGTCGTGCCCTTAAACTCGTTGCGCGTGCTTTAAAGACTTGATTATACACTTGTATCTTAATCTACTATTTCGCATGTTAATTTCCTACGTTTGGTTTTAAAATATTCACCCGGTATGTGAAATTCCTTTTCATTGGTGATAACGCAATCTCAGAGGAGGTCAGCGATGTACTTGGTGATTCTTCATAGAATATTCTTCAATTTTTTTACCCCATGTTTTAATATATTTTATGTTTTGTTAATGTGTATTTTTATTAAATAAAATATTACAAGTTTATATAGGTATTAAACTTTGGAATATCTTGGGTTTCACCGCGTGCGACGTCTTCAAAAGTGCAGTAGGGAAGCCTCTCATGCAGTTCCGATGCCAGTAGGTTATTTTTGTTATCATAAATGAATTCCCTGACCCCAAAAACATAACTCTAGACACCTTACACGACCCGGTGTGCCTTAGAAATATAATTCGATCAAAAGTCTGTCATTTTCCAAAAATGGCGGCTTTTCACGGACTTCCTGTATCCGGATTAGATTTCTGGCGCTACCATTGGATTCCTCGGGTTAAAATCATACGAAATCGACACCCAGATCTCGTCTCTAGGCCATATTTAGTTTTGAAAAAATTTTTACAATAAATCACCCCCACCCCCTCTAAAATCTACCCACACGGAAAATGTCAAGTGTTCTTCGGGCCAAATCATCTAAATGGCTCTAAGGAACAGCTGTACCAAGTGGCACCTTGGTATAAGAAAATGCAGTATCTTTTGGTATACCGCTAGTACTAAGTGTGTTGAGCATGGTGTACACAGGCGGTCGCGCAGCTGCTTGATTCAATACGGTTGTAGAGAGGCTCTAAACTCACGTAATTAGAGTGAGAGGTGCGAAGAGAGATGCAGTAAATCGTCCGCACGGCGGGTACTTCAGAATAAGTTCCCACATAGCATTCGATATCTTATGTATATACATTTTAAATCCAAAATGTACAGGGAATATTCTGTCCATCTTGTATACCATCGATGTATATTCATTATAGACATATGTATTTTATGTCCATTATGGATATTTTATAAATATACATTTTGGATGTGCTATGGATGTTTAGGCACCGTCGCCGAGTTTACTATCGCCGAGTTGACGATCGCCGACTTAGAATCGCCGAGTTGGAATCGCCGAGTTTACCATCGTCGAGTTGACATGCTCCGACTATAAATACATAAACAATACGGTACATACAATATCTTTTATTGTAAAAACATTAACATTGTGCTCTATTCTATATAAAGAAAACACTATTCTTACTAGTGACAGGACCCTATCAACATATAGAAGTCGTTTTCGTTGTCCTTAATCTTCTAAGAGTTTTTACGGCTCTGCCGCGCCGTGTTTAATATTTTTTAAATGCATTTTTTATTAAACTGTTCCAAGGAAGCTTATATTTTTAGAATACGTATGAATGTGGCTTTTTAATTATATTTTTTGTAGGCGATATCGGCGCTAGTTCAAAGTTTATGGTCATTTGAAGAATTTTTTTTGTAAATAAAATTCTAGATTTTTGACCGTAATTCGATTTTTTGTCCGTATGCTTTTTTTGTTTCAGAAAATGATTGGCCATCTTTTATTTATGCGAAAATGATACCACACACTTGCCCGAGTAGTTATAATTTAGCAGTTATGACCACCAACAGCGCGCGCGGCGTAAGAAAAGTTTATCCCCTCCCCCTCCCTCACAGCAGCGTATCTCCCGCTGCCTCCCGGGCGATTTCCATTCGGGTCTACCTAAGTAGCAAGTGTACCAAGCTTTAATGACAAAAATATTGGTGTTGGCGTATAACGACCCCACTATTACTTACCTCTCAATAATACGAAAATTACTGCAGGGCGTTTATTTATTAAAGTACATTTAGTAAGCCTTATATCGTTATAAAGAGAAAAATTTGTCCTTTTTAAAAATGTCAAAGCCAACTATGACTACCATTTAAAAAAATTATGTCATTTTGTTGTATTTCTAATAATAACGATTCTACAACAGTTAAATGAAAAGTCACTAAATATCTGTTTTTCGCTCATATCTAGTGAACTGCGGATTTTTTTCAAAAAACAAAAGCATATCTTAAATAAGCTCTTAAAACGACAACTCTTTTCTCATTTAACCGAATCCGTATGTCTTGTGGTTTTCGAGATCCCAATGCTTAAAATGAAAAAAAACTCACCCTGTATACATGGGATTATATGTTATGTATATACCTACGTTTTGGATTTGATACATGCGTTTTCTGTATTACCGACGTGACAAACGTTAGCATCTCATTTTCTGTGAATTACGGCGATGAAGATAGTAAGGTGCTATTGCAAATCCAGTTCATTTTTCTAAAATCAGGAGAGTTATTCAGGGAGTTATTAATGAGTTTGTTTGTCTAATTTGGACAGTTAAAGTAATGTTTTTTATTTCGTGTGTGCATGACCTAAAGTGGCAAATATGTGTTAGTGAGATGTAAAGACTGGATGGGAATTAATATAAGGACAAGAATGCCAGGTATGTTAGAAACCTATTTTTTATGAACTCGCACTATTATAGTGTTGAACAAGAACACGATCAAGTTTGATTCAAGACTACGGTGTTAAATAAACCAATAATAATTTCTTAAGCACATTTTCCATTGCATACTAGAAGACATAATAAACAAAAAGCTTCACTCAGTGAAAAGAATTTATTTATGTACGTATAGATGCTAGTAAACTTCCCGAATGTTAGAGGAATCTCCATAGAACATCCATTCTGAATGTATACAATATTCATAGAATATCCTATTAAACATCTTTGCATATTACAGGAATATTCATGGTATATCCAGTTGTCAGTATACCAATATACACAGCATGTCTGATGCATATACATAAGACATCCACCCGCACTAGCCTGCCGCTTCCGCACAACCACTTGCAGACCTTCCGGCAAACACCCACGTTTCGTCTATAAAGCGACCTCGCATTTCATGAGAGATGTAACGTTCATGCGATAGCGCCTAAGGGGGTATAAAGACAACGGCGTTTGGACGACTCGGCGCTGTTCCGCGCTGCAATGGCCGGTCCTGCTGCTGGCTGGATGTCGGACGCTGACTGTTTTTCGGCCACAGACGCTGGCTCCACAGGGTCCTCCCCGCATTGCTTCAGTGAAATTTCCAAATGTGGTACTAGCCTATAACTGTAAAAAATTGCAAATTTACCTCCTCAATGCAATCCAGCAGGCGAAGAGGACTTCC